ACGCCCGTCAGCCCGGAATCGCTGCGTAAATAAAGCGAAACAGGATCCTTTTAAGAAAAGACCAACCGGTTTCCAGCCACCGACGAACTCCGATCTGTCAAGGAACACAATTTTTACTTCCTGTGTGATTCTTTGCTTGGTTTACGCTAGATTTACGAGCGTCAAATTCCATATTTTAAAATTACAGAACGCTTATTGTATATTATTCTTTAACCCTTTGCACTCCTATGTCGAGTGTGATTCGACATCAATTTTTATCTCAGAAGATCCTTCGTCAAGTCTCATTCACCATTTTTTGAAAATTACAAAATACAACAACAGTGTAAATAAAACACTTAAAAGCATTGGGAGCTGCTGGTAACAAAATTGGAGTAGAATTTGGAGTGCAAAGGGCTAACGCTCTGGAGATGTTTTCCGATGATTCTAGTATTGTGCATTCGCGAGAAGTTGGCACAGTGGATGCGGGAGCTGCTCCGCCCATCTCCACTTTCGACCAATAGCGACGATACGTGAGGAGTCTAGGCACCGATCAGACCCACATTCCTTACGCCGATACAACTTCTCGCGGACGTACAATAGCGGAGCTGATAAAAATCGAGAATGAACTTAAATTTTCGAACATATCAGGTCCTCCTCGTGAATTGAAAAAAGCCTCATCCTTCGACGTCGATTTTGTGCGAATCACGATTAAGTAATTGGCGGAGGTAGCGGTCTCCCGATCGTCCGATTCGATACCGTGGCCGTGTTGCACGCACGTGTTTCCCCGTTATTTCTCACTCGGCGCTTTTTCGCCGTGCCCCGTCGATTTCTATACGATCCCGGCACCCGGACAGTTACACGAACTTCTTCAAAATATAAATCCCCGACGGCAACTACGCCCGATACTTTCGCGTTTCCCGCTTTCCTCCCGCCGGAACTGCGAACCACCGACGAGAGGGACGGTTGGTTTCTATTCATTTTTTTCATCGTTTAACACGCAACGCGCAATTCGTAAACAAAATACACGGGAAAAGATTCAGCGTAGATAGCCGGAGCTTTCGATTCCCTCGTCCCGTTGGTTGCCGCGACAGCGAACAGGGCAAATAACTAAACGAAAGACAGGGGGAACTTAGCGGAACGCAATTTACACACTCGCGTTGCACAAATTTCGTTTTATCGCTCCGAGAAGAAATTATTTCACGTGAGACCACATTACTAGATTCCAAAGTCGGATATGAAAGTTCATAATGGTTAGAATTTTAAGAGGTTTAGATTACTAAATTATTAAGGAATATTCGAACTAATGGAACGTCCAAAGAATATTTATATAGAAATCCTTTTCCTCGAGTTCTTAAATAAAATGTTTTATTTTATTTGTTTAACGGCTGAGGTATATGAGATATGAAAACGTGTACGGAATAAAACAAATGGAGAATTCGAGTCGGTAAGAGTTAAACAGTTGTCGCGGCGTGCAACTCCGCGAGCGGCGGTTATAAATAATTCGCCGTGAAAAATATATTAGCTAATAATAACGGGTGAGCCAATTATGTTCAACAGGTTCACCCACACGATCGTGTGTACGACCATACGTTCTCGTCTGCATTCTCCGGAGTATGGAACGTGGACGAATTTATGTAACCGTGCAATGGCGACTCCCATTTCCGGTGCGCCTTGGCTGAATTCTTTTTCTTCCACCTTCTGTGGAATACGCGTATCTGGCAATGGAATCATAGTAATTTGCCATGCATTGATTTCACTTACAAAGCGTTAAATTACCGGCGAATAAAGTGCTCCGTATTGTCGATCGTATCGTGTAATTTAAAGAAATTTTACCAGGCAACAGTTGTCCTGTCTTCGGTCAAATTCTACTTTTACTTTGCCTGAATATTGCTGGGAATATTTTTGGATACACTTATTCGAGTATACGAAGTTGTTCTCAGGTACTCAAATGTAATAGAGGCTGTATTTGACTATGCTTGGCTCTATTCAACTATAGTCAACTCTGTTCAAGTGTACTTGGCTCTATTTAGCTATGCTTGGAACTCTACTCAACTATAGTGGACTTTACTTTGGGTACACTTAGCTCTATTTAAATATAGTGGACTCTATTTTGGATACACTTGGCTCTATTGGGCTGTACTTGGCTCTACTCAACTATAGTGGCCTCGATTTTGGGTACTCTTAACTCTACTCAACTATAGTGGACTCTATTTGGATACACTTGGCTCTTTATAGAGTCAAGTAGAACCACGTACAGCTAAATAGAGCCAAGTCTACCCAAAATAGAGCCCACAATAGTTGAGTAGAGCCAAGCACAGCCAGATAGAGCCAAGAATACCCAAAATAGAGCCCACAATGGTTGAGTAGAGCCAAGCACAGCCAGATAGAGCCAAGAATACCCAAAATAGAGCCCCCAATGGTTGAGTAGAGCCAAGCACAGCCAGATAGAGCCAAGAATACCCAAAATAGAGCCCCCAATAGTTGAGTAGAGTCAAGCACAGCCATATAGAGCCAAGAATACTCAAAATAGAGCCCACTATCTTTAAATAGAGCCAAGTACAGCCAGATAGAGCCAAGAATACCCAAAATGGAGCCCACAACAGTCGAGTAGAGCCAATCACAGCCAAATAGAGCCCACTATAGTTGAGTAGAGCCAATCACAGCCAAATAGAGCCAAGTTGTACCCCAATAGAGTCCGATCAGAGCCAAGTAAAGTCGAGTAGAAGCAGCTAGGTCGAACATAGTTGAAAATCTCGTGGAAAGAATTGAGACGAAAGGGAAGAGACGCGAAGTATCGACAGTTGGCAGGATCGGGGCGTGCTCGTTTCTTCATTCAGGCGCCGAACTGATCCACCCACAAGGCGGATTTATCTGACACGGAGAAAGAGTTAAGGCACATTAACGACGTATCGCGGTGGACACGCGATACCTGGTATTTCGCGACGCTGACGACGCCTGTCCCGGGGCCTAGGGCGTCGTTCATCAGGAAGTAATCGTAGCTGCCGATGCTTGGCAAATGGAAGGCCGGGGAATATCACCCGCAGAGAGAAATATAAAGGCAGCCGGGAGTCGCGTATGTCATGCATGGATCGATGACTCGCGGTATTTTTACCGGGCTGCCGTGGTTTGACCTTCCGTCGCGGTTACGTAGGTGTACCGACCGGGACGCCATAAATTAACACCTCGAATGGCTTCCTTGTTTTCGTAAACGCCGACCAACGGCCCGTGTCCAGCTCTTTATTAAACCGGGGACTCTTTTCTTTTTTTGGGCCAGGGAATTTCAATGCTTCGTCGACCCTCTTTAAAACGTTCATTGTCGTGCTAGCTTTTTCTGTTTAAGGGTGCATCCCCTTTTCTCGAGATTTTTTTAAATTATGGGACAACTAATATTCGATGGTTGAATAGAGTACTTGTTATATTATCAATAATATACTGTAAGATATTTTAGATATTTTCCCTTTAATATCTTAATACAATGGTTTTCGAACGTAAGTAACTAAATTATTATTAACAAACGATTAACTAATAAAATGCATACTTCACGCGAAACACACACATATAGACGGCAATGCCTTTAATCGAAACTCTCACATAATGTATAATAACTGCACTCATTCATTACAAACCTAAAGGTTGCTTACAATATAGTGTAAACTTGACTATTAACACTAGAAGGAAATTAAAGCCACGGTGAATTTGCAAAAATTCAGTCTAGTATATTTTCTATAACTTTATTAGTAAGACAATCGATAACGATCGATACCAGAATCGCGATCTGCGAGTCGTTGGTGGGGAGAGCCCCCTACTCTGAGGTATCAGTCCACGAACAACGCGAAATTCGGCAGTCGCGATCAGCAAGACTAACGAGCGACACGAGAGAGAGAAAGAGAAAGACGAGTGTGATTTTAACCCATTATTATCTTGTATTCCTTCAACTTCTAATAAACTAACTTCTAATCTTGTAACATTAGTAACTACGAATTCCTCTGGTTCGTTGAACCGACATTGGGTTTTAATTTTCGATTCCTCGAGACTTTATCTTTCTCCAAAAAGGAAACAGCGTAACGATATGCTCGATTGCTTGGTTTTTCTCATCGCGAAAGATAACAGGATACCCAGAATTTGTTATTCAAATTTTGCATAGCCATTTTGAACAGAAGCGCGGTATCAATGAAATCGCGATAACCGTGGCTTTTTATTCCGTGGAAATGCCTGACTCGTTAATTTATACGCGATCGTACGCTAGCACCGTTTCCTCTTTTCATGCGATCGGCCGTTGTCTCACCTTTCGGTTATCTCGCCTCTTCTCTCTCTTCCTTTTCCCGTGACGACGCTCGAAAATGTCCTTACTTTCTCCAGGACATCGCCGGGGACAATAAAAGAAACGCGCCACGGCGTTAATAAAATACGATCGATGGTGTTATATGGGCTGCTTTTAGAAACGAAAACGGGAACGGGATCTCAGCTTGAGATCCGTCGATTTACGACGTTTTCGCGCTAACATCCGGCTCCGCCATTTTATCGAGTCACCTCATTGCGCAAGCGCGGATCGTAATAACCAGTCGCTAGTTAGCCATTTCGAACCAAATATGAACTTTTTATTCGTTGTTATTAAGGCTCACTATTTACTAAACGCTTCGATATATTGAAATTAGACATTTTCCCACAGTTTTGCAAGTTTCCAAAATGAACTCGATAAATAAATTTTTTAAATAAGAAATATTAATGAATAATATATCATTAAATTTTAAGTTAGAAGTTTGAGAGCATTTATCGAACTTTTCTGTATTTGAACATCGGGAATAAATATTTCACGAGTGTTTAAATGCTCCAACACCATTAAAACGATTTTATAAATTCAAGTTCGCCAAATTTGCGAAACAGAGATTTCAGTTTTTCAGTGTTTCGATCGCCTCGAGATACACTGTGCGTCATCCTGTAGATCGGAGCAATTCCACGTGCACGCCGCACAAGACCCTCGTCTGTGATTCGCAGATCTATAACTTATTGTATTTTTTCAGGGGCGGCGAAAGTGCAGCGCGGACCGAAGGAATCAGCGCGATAAGCGCTGCGCCGAGGCCGACTTTCGGTACTTTATTACGAGGCTGGAAAGGACACGCCGGATACGCCGCTTACAAATTACGTTGTTCCGAGTACGATCGATCTCGCGGATCGCCATTATACCGATCCATCGACGAACAGCGGAGGAATTGGCCAGAAAAGCTGAACGAGACTATTTTAAAACGTGACCTGCCTTCGAAGTGCTGTAATTGTATAAAAAATCAACGATGATCGGTGAGTTATTAAATATTTAATCGAATAACTCACTTTTTGCGAAAACAATACGGTGGGATTTATTATCTGTTCGAGATTAAACGAACTTTCCGTTGGACTGGTTAGAAAAGGAGCGCGTGGAGCGTGGAACCGGTAACGGTCGATGATTAATCGGCGATCCGTGGCAATTAAATGGTCGAGCAACGCTTTTCCCGGTTTCCGCGGAAACCGTAGAAACTCCTAGTATTAATCAGACGGCCGTATCGACACGCTACTTGACGCAATTACGCGCTCGTTCGTGTTTTCGAGGTATCGGCATTATATACAAATTAACTGGCCTCTATAAGTCATGCACGCGCGATTACGTTGCCGAACGACGGAAATATCGATATACAGACCTAACCCAGACCGGCCGCCGGGGCACATTTTATTTCAAATAAACAAACAACAATTTAAAACGGAACACCCTGTGTATACCGAGGCGAACAAGCACCACCGGTTTTCAGCTCCATCCAGGAAACCGTCGACACGGTCGTATCTGGGGGAAAAATGCTCTCTGCGACTCTATTCGTCACGACTCGTGCCCCATGCTGGCCACGTGTAGCGTTCGAAATTTCCCTAGCAGGAAAACCTGGGGTTTTCTGGGGTGCTCTTTCAGTCGATGAGGATGAACAGGATGCTTTGTACGCACCTGGAGCCATTTGTCAGAATCAAATACCATCGTTCATGCGCGATTTACACGTGAAATCGTGGGGTTCCCCTCTATTTTCACCGCGAACTATCGCGCATTAGTCGCGGTCTGGTTTAAATCAGAGTTGGCAAATATATGCATTGTCCGGCCGTCGAATCGTAAAGGATTTAGCGATACCGGTATCCTTAATGCAATGTAGTCGAGACTAGCTTCTTTCACGCTCAGCCTGGAAATTTATGCGACGTTTGAGCTTTTTACTACATATAAAAAGTCCCAGTATTGCGGCAGAACATCATTTTTTATCATAGCTGCCTTGTGCATAGAAGGCTCTAATTAATTTCTTGACTACTTTGAATGGAAATCTCATTTTTTAGTAACGATTATACTGAAATTAAACGGTACACTTGGCTCTGTTTGACTGCACTTGATTCTACTCAACCATAGTGGACTCTATTTGGATAGACTTGGCTCTATTTAACTGTGCTTGGCTCTACTCGACTATAAAGAGTCGAGTGTACCCAAATAGAGTCCACTATAGTTGAGTAGAGCCAAGCATAACCAAATAGAGCCCAGTGAACTCAAAATGGAGCCCACAATAGTTCCAGCCAAAGATAGAAAATTAAATTTTGCATTAACTTTCCACCGAGCAACGGTTCGAATTATTTATTTCCGAATTCGCAGGAAATGGCCGCGAATATTCAGCGAAATAAGGGGTCAGGTGCATCCTCGCGAAATGCATATGGCGGCGAAAGGATGAAAAAGGCGCGCGAAGCGCATAGGTGGCGCGTCGGTGCGCCGAGCTAAGCCCGAGAGCGAAATTAATAGCCGACTTGTCATAACAGGCAACGATAGGAGCCCCGAGAACCGGACTTCTCGGTGCTCTTAGGCGAATATACATCGAGTCGAGCCTGCGAGCAATTCCCCGTGACGAATTTCCTACGTCAACTCGCCTCTCTGGAGACGGGGGTCTCCTTTGCCCGAATGACGTATGCAAATCAGACGGTTGCACCGTCAATCCAGGAAGCACCTTCGAACGCCCCACAAGTGCCACAGTTATCTTCCTTCTATTCTTTATATATTTCACAGCCCCCTTTTGGTTCATCTTGCATAAATTTTGTAACCTCCAAATATTTTAGAAATAGTTAGTTAATTCAGAGGTTTAATGATATTCTGTAAAATACAACGGAGCTCTTCTGTGAATGATTAAAATTTATGCTATGAAAGTCTTAAATCATCCACTCTGGTTGGAACCAAACAATAAACGAGGCTCTCGTGCAGTCAATAATCGAGGTACTATTGTACCATTAGGATCTTCCATAAAATTGCAGCATGTTTCAAGGAATAAATCTCTGTTATCTTGTTTATATCATCGCAAAATAGTAGGGAACCATGTTTCGCGGTCCACGCAGCCATTTCCCCGGCGCGCGCAAGGCAGTATGGGAAAAAATGGCGGGGTCGTATGGGTGCAAATATGCGCCACCAGGCGGTAATGATGTTAACAACAATGGCGGCTTCTATTACGGGCGCGGGAAGAATGGAAAGTGAACTTAGGCCACGAAATCACCCGCAGAAATGTCCGCGTAAAATCGTCAATGCGAAATTGCATGAAATTATCGGCAATAAAGCAACGCAACGCGCATTGCATTGTTGGGCGCGTATTATAATTTCACCGCTGACGCAATGGCGAACCTGATTCAAACAAAAATAGTCGCTCGAAAAGGAGAACGATCTCTCTATTTTGAAAAATGAATATTAACGTGTAATTTTAATTTAGATACTATTTCTGCGCAAATTTTCTCCCTTTTCAAAATGGTCGATCTATCCAAAAGATTTTGTTTATGTTGGAATGTTCAAAATTTAGCGCCAATTCAAAAGAATTCGTGAGCTCTTATGTTTTCGTTTTTGTACGGTGTGACTTGGTTTTGGCTGTGCCGCATGCACACAATTCTATTTTCTAAGAATTAATAAATAAAATACCTTTGTTACTCAAGAAATCTATCAGTTTACATACGCCTTATTTTTATTCGTTATTCGTTGATGTCTAGAAAAGGAGACAATTGAACGATAATAAAATGTTAATTAATCATCTGTATAGTAGAATGTTTCGACCCTCGTTTCGAGATCACCCTGTAAGCGACTGAAATTGTTCCGTGCAAGTCGTTTTCTTCCGTTTATTTATTTCGACGAACGCGCGAGTACAGTTTATTGGCGCACTCTTGGACCGACGCCGATAAAATTCATCCGGCGCGTAAATATTAGTGCATTCTTAGCGCGATTTCAATTTCACCGCGGATGTCCCCGTTACATTTCGCACCGTATGGGCTTCGTAAAGATAAGGTGACGTTCAGCCCGCTCGATCGCGGGTGAAAGTTATTAAAAACTGGCCAGCTTGCGAAACGGGACGTTAGACCAACTGCATCGTCGGAATAACAAAGTTCTTTTCCGCTCTTCTCTTTTTAGAAATCCTCTTCGATTCTTCCTCGTTGATTCTCGAATATCCATGCTGTGAGAAATCTTGCAAAGAATATGATATATTTAATAAAGTGCCCCTGGCAATAGGCAACTTTAAGCTCGTCTGAGCGTTGATTCTAACAGATTTGCAACAAGAAAAATTGCTATCAATTTTACTCGAGTACAAAGAGAATGTTTTAAAATAATTTTACGTAACAGTTCCATAAGCTCGTATCTCTGAAAGAGCTTGTTGTTCCTCGGTGCAAATAGAAATCGTAGAGGCCATATTTAACAGCCGTGACTAACGTAACCGGGCAACGAACAAAACAGCGTAGAAATAATAAGATGGAGATCACCTACGGGCTATGGCTGTCGAAAACGATCGTCGCTTGCCAACAGGAACAAAAATACAACTTCATCGCGGATAATTATCGACTCACCCTCGTATATTTAAGGAGTCGTTTGTCTCGTTATTTATCGAACGGCCCTCGTATTTTCGGCGTACAGCGCGCGAACGCGATACGATCGATCCCCGTTGCTTTAAAACTCGTGCTCCTCGTCGATCATTTGGCGGGTCTTATATGGCGGCGTCATGGATCCCTCGGAGGCGTTGCAAAACTAATAAGACGAGGTCAGAAGGTGGTTAAAGTGTGACAAGGTTAACATCCAGAGCCGCGCTTCCTCCTTCGTGCCCCCGAAAGGGTTCAAAGATGAGCCTCTTTCCAGCCGACGTGGGATCGGGTTCCGGTCGACATTGAACGCGCGAGTTAATTATTTACGCCGTAGCTCGGGGGCAGAGCCGACCGCTACTCGTTTGGCGAATAAAAAAGAAACACCGCGAGCAAGAACAAATACAACCTTTATTGCATTCGAGCACGCGAGAGCGACTTCGGACTTAATTTTTTGATTAATAGCCGAAAATCAGGGTCGTTTCACCCATTAATTGCGAAGGAGAACATTCCCTTAGAGTTTGGACCATCTTTCTATGGCTCTATTTGGCTGTGCTTGGCTCTATTCAACTACAGTAGACTCTATTTTGGGTGCACTTGGCTCTATGCAACTATGGTGGACTCTATTTTGGGTACACTTGGCTCTATGCAACTATGGTGGACGATATTTTAGGTATACTTGGCTGTATTTGGCTGTGGTTGGCTCTATTCAACTACAGTAGACTCTATTTTGGGTACACTTGGTTCTAAGCAAGTATGGTGGACTCTATTTTGGGTACACTTGGCTCTACTCAACTATAGTGGACTTTATTGTAGGTATACTTGGCTGTATTTGGTTGTGCTTGGCTCTATTCAACTATGGTAGACCCTATTTTGAGTGCACTTGGCTCTATGCAACTATGGTGGCCTCTATTTTGGGTACACTTGGCTCCATTTCACTGTGCTTACCTCTACTCAACTATAGTGGACTTTAATTTGAGTATACATGGGTCTTTAGAGGGTGGAACAGAGCCAAATGTACTCAAGTAGAGTCCTCTGTGGTTGAGTAGAGTGAAGCACAGCCAAATAGAGCCAAGTGTACCCAAAATAGAGTCCACTATATTTAAATAGAGCCAAGTGCACCCAAAGTAGAGTCCACTGTAGTTGAGTAGAGTGAAGCACAGCCAAATAGAGCCAAGTGTACCCAAAGTAGAGTCCACTATATTTAAATAGAGCCAAGTGCACCCAAAGTAGAGTCCACTGTAGTTGAGTAGAGTCCCAAGCATAGCTAAATAGAGCCAAGTATACTTGAACAGAGTTGACTATAGTGGAATAGAGCCAAGTGTATCCAAAATAGAGTCCACTATATTTAAATAGAGCCAAGTGTACCCAAAGTAGAGTCCACTGTAGTTGAGTAGAGTCCCAAACATAGCTAAATAGAGCCAACTATA